TTAATTGATTGTTTGCTTCAACTTTGACTTATTTGCATAAATTGTTTTAATTTCATTATTTGACTATTTGTTTGAAATTATTTGTTTATTTTTTTTTATTTGAATTAATTATTTAAGTTAATTGTTAATTATTAAATTATTTTATTTTATTCAATCTCATTATTTGTTCTGCCTTAACGTGACTGTAGGGTTAGTTGCATACATATATGATACAATTCATAGCCGACATAGTTTATAACCTAGTTTTCTATGGGCCGAGTGAATTATGTTTAGAGTTTAATTGAACATAGGGTTAGTGGCCTATAAATATTCAAGTAGTATTCTGACTAGGGTTTTAGAAAAACTATTACGATATAGTAAGGGCTGAGGGAATTGGAGATGGCTGGGAAGGAAAACAGTGAACCAACATAGAGTTTAGTCGGAAAACTCAGACGAACGTCGGTATAAGGCAAGTTCTATCCTTACTCTCTCCCGTAGGTTTCATGTTCTTTGCATCCTTGAATAATTCTAGGGTTGATTGAATTAATAAAACGTTATCTGTTTATGCTAGAACTTGAATTAAAAACTGTATGGTCGCATGCTTGCTTAAACTGCTAAAAGGTGTTGTTTGCTTGCATAGTTCTCTATTTAAAACCTATGTATGTAATATAGTTAAGACTTAAACATGGACTGGAATACTCTGGGATTAGATTATAGCATCTGGGAACCATCGCAGTAGGACAGAGAAGTTGCAGAAGGCGTATAAGGAAGAAGGAAAACAAAGAGACGCGACAGAGAGGGAGAGAGCCGGCTCCCTTGGAATTAGAGGCGGCTCCCAAGTGGGGGAGCCGGCTCTAAGGTCTAAAGGAGGCGGCTCCAACTTTTGGAGACGTCTCCTTGCTCAGTTTTTGTGATTTTATTCGTTTCTAGTCAGTTTTGCATGCAATGGTTGATTTTGGAGTTTTCAATTGAGTGCAGAATTGAATATGGAAGGTTTAAGTAATGTATAAGGATAAATTAAAGCTTCAGATGTGGTGTTAACTAAGTCTACTTGCTGAGAAAAGCTTGGACAGTAGGGATTTAAACAGGTAGTTCCATGGTGTTTAATTCTATGAGTACACTATGTTTAATTCTGAAATCTTTTGATATGAACGATATAATTGGAACATGTATAACTCTATATCATGAGCATGTATCTGAATTACACTTGTTTAGAATATGTTAGTGTGGAAGAATAATAATTCTTAAACTTTACACTAATGGGATTTTGTAAAACAACCTAAACTAAACATGTATCTATACATACTGTAGTTCTGTCTTGATGGTTGCATTAATACTATTAGTATCAACTGTTGGAGGAATGGACTTTGTTGATGGTTATTTTAAATGTCTGTAATATCAACTGCTGAGTATTGAATGATAATTTAAAATAATCTTATCATTATATCTGATTGAATGAAACAACCTAAATTGAGTAGGTTTGTGTATATACAGTGACTATGGTTCTTGATGCTTACATTATGCCTGTTAATATCAGTGTTGGATATAAAACTGAATCTGTTTATGTATATAGTTGATTCTGTTTATTGATGTTTACACTATGCCTGTCAGTATCAGTAATGGAAATATGGATTTAGCTGATGTTTGCTTTAATTGTTGATATTATCAACTGCTGGATGATTGGATAGTATACACCGATATAGGACGGTGGTATACTAGGGATGGTTTGGTTTCAAAATACCAAAACCTGCCTACTCTGGATTAAGAATTGGATTAACTAAAAGTTAAGTCCTATTAATTGTAGTGTCATGGCAACGACTAGTTGAGCGGCACTACTAGGATTCAGGATAGACTTTAAATATATTGTTATGGTACCTTGATATGAGCTTGAGTCTCAGGATCGACGGTTATGGAGCATATATGCATTGGAATGCATAGCTGGATACGATGGTTAGAGGTGTACCCTGTTTAGGTTTAGGTACACATGCCCACTTCGTGTGCGTTTTAGCATGTTACCTCTATTCAGGTTGAGACTGGCCTGTAGTCCAGTGAAAATCCTTTAATGTGACTATATATATATTTACGGACTATTAGCTATTGTTGAATTGTTTAGGATGCACATGCGTATCGGGCCTCTGTTTGGATTATAGTAGTATAGAACTTGCGCGTGGGCCTGACCCACTTCTATTTTTCAGGTACACTATAGTTCCAGGCTTAGACGTGTTCGTGTTGAGCAGAGGTCTCTTTTCACTCTTCCGACGATGTAGGATTCTCTCCATAGTTTAATTCTGGATGTTTATTATAGTTGTTTTATTTCAGTCTCGATGTTTAGTAGGGGCCCACTAGAGATGGATTCTCGAGTTGTAAACTGATGGAGTTTTGGAGTTTGGGTTTGATGGATTTCAATAATTATATTATTTTGCGGATTCCATTTTTAGTTCCTTTCAGCTTTAATTTCATTTCTTAATTCATTTTATATTCTGTGTTCATTATAAAATATTAATTGTTCGATATTCCTCGAGTTTGGGCCTGGGCTTGATCAACCCGTGTCTCGGATCCGAGGGGTATCACAACCACAAATACTAAAACTATTCAACCTTCAAATTGGGCCTCAACAAGAAGCTTGGGCCGGGTTAACTAAGCATAATGGGCTGAACTCATTATGAAGGCCCGAGATGATAAGACCCCAAGCCCAATTACGAATATATTACTAAACCTATTTTAGTAACAGTTCTATTAGAAGAAGAATTATAATCTATGGAAACCAAATAATGTAAATCCTTATTATAAGGAAAGTATGATGTAATTCAGATTCTTAAGGGATAAGAAATGCAAGTCCTAAAAGGAATCGATTATGGTTTTTCCTATATAAAAAGGGCTTAGGACCCTCAATAAGGGGGAGACAGAAAAAGGGCAAAATTCCCAAATAAAGATTCAATTCTCATCGGCAGAACTACTTTTCGACCTGATTCCCACGCCCTATGAGGCAGGATACGTAGGCAATCTAGGTAATCCTAAGTTCGGTCAAATCATCAAAATACTCCCTTATCTCTATCCAATATCTCTAGTTCATTGGTTTTTTCTCTATTATTATTTTGGGTGTAGTAATTGTAGAGAATTCGTTGACTTGTTAAAGTTGAATGAATTTTTGCACCTACACCTTGCATCACAACATTTTCCTAATGTACATTCCACCTTTCTCCTCATCAGTATCCCAATATTTTCCTCTCAACTTTCTTTTCATCGATTTCCCAACATTTTCCTAACGTACATTCCAAAATATCCTCATCGGTTGGAATCAATCTACTATCCCAACATATTCCTAACGTATATTCCAACATTTTCCTAACTTACATCCTAAAGTATCTCAAATTAATTCATCAGCATCCCAACATTTTTCTGACATACATTCCAAAATATCCTCACCGATTGAAACAGATCTACTATCTCAACATTTTCTTAACGTACATCTCAAAATATCTCGAATTTATTCACGTTTATTCACATTATAAATGCATCTCTCTATTGTCAATAAACTTGTACTGTGTATGCCACGAAGCTTGGAAAAGTTCCGATTTTGCTTTAGTTTATAAAGAGGGATTCCACTCTAGTCGTTATACCAGTACACTATTTAATAATAATAATAAGGGTTAATTACATTCACACCCCCGAGGTTTACTCTATTGACAGTCAGATAAAACTTAAACCTTTTTTGAATAATCACACCCCCTCACATTTGATAAAGTTAACAAAGACACCCCTATCACATCTGACATATGATGAATTGACTTTATTACCCTTTGACTATTAATTGACCCATTTAAATACTAAAATTACAGTTCTAACCTTCCATCCACCCATCACCACAATCACTTCACCGATGAACATAAATCATCAAATTCAGGATGTGTGTGTCTGTTTGTATGATTACTGAAGAATATATGTATATTGATTAACTTCCAATATATATATATATATTGATTCAATGGGGTTGCTAAACGATTTATTTAGAAAAGGAAAGTTATATATATACAAAAAATATACCAAATTCTTCAACTTTCCTTTTCTAAATCAAAATCCATTTTTTTTTTCCTCTTCAAAAACCCAATTGCAATCACATAATTAATGCTCAAATATACAACACAAATAAGGGTTTCCTTTCTAAATCAAACCCTTTTTTCTTTCTCTACAAAAACCTAATTGAAAGAGAGAATTAAAATACACAAATATACCTACAAAATGAATGTCGGTCAACAAGAAGATGAGCAACCCTTCGTCGCTACCTCTGCCGCGATCCACAAGCCACAAATCAATTTGGATTCCTTCATAAAATTCCACAAACCCTAATCCATTTCAACTCGTACCGTCATGATCTACTTTCTTCTCGTACCATCCATCTGCAACTAACCTTCTCCTCACTCTCATAGTAGCTTACTGGGCCACCGCGAGCACATATCAACCATGGTGGTGGTGATAAGAAAGATGGTGATATTGTGTAATCACAGGTGGGTGGAGAGAGATGGTGGTTGTGACGGTGGGTGTAGAGAGGTGGTGGCAGCTATCCTGGCTGAAGGGAGATGCAGTGGGTGGTGATACATGGTGGTAGTGGGTAGAGGCGGCGGCGGCCGTTGTTGAGGAGAGATGGTGGCAGCGAATGTGGAAAGAGGGGAAGAGCCGGTGTTGGGCTAGACAAGATATAGGTGTGGACAAATTTGTCATTTTACAAATTGAGATATATATTTTTATTTTTATTATTAAAATGAATTAAATATTTAAGGGTAATTTCGTCTTTTTCTATCTTTTAAGGGCTTGTTTGGTTGGAATTTTTGACAAGGGGTGTGAGTGTTCAAAAAAAGGCTAAGTTTCATCTGGCCGTTAATATGCCAAACCTCATGGGGGTGTGATTGTAATTAATCCTAATAAAAAAAATGTCATTATCGCTCACAATCACTAAACTAAAAAATTCAATAATAAAAAACTTAAACTCAAGCCGTCAAGCGACCTCATAATGCAAGTACAAATAAAAATCTGTTAATTAGACATAAACAGTGAGCTCTCCACAGAAAAATAGGAAAATCAAAATCAAAACGACTATGGCCGCTTTGCTCCTCTCCCAAAACCCATTCCCACCACTTCTCTTCTCTCCTCTCACACCCACTTCCCCTCTTTCACTCCTCTCAATCACAAACCCTAGAAATCAACCTCACCACCACGGCCACCGCAAATTCATTGCCTTATCATCGTCATTTCGAAACGGAAACACATCGCCGGAAACAGAGTGCCCTGTTCCACCAGATCAACAACCCATCAACGAGTACCAGTCACTGTCCACCTCCTTCCCCTTCTCCTGGGCCTCTGGCGACTTCGTCGAGTACTGTTCGCGCTTGTTCGTCACAGGGGCTTCCTTTGCCCTCTTCGTGGGTCTGCCCGTTTCGTGGTACGGCTCCGTCGGCGTCGAATGGGATCTGTCGGAGCGGGTCTTGGGTGCTGTCTCGAGTGGGATTTTGGCGGTCACTCTTGCTGTTGTGAGGATGTATCTGGGTTGGGCATACGTGGGCAATCGATTGCTAAGTGCCACTGTTGAATGTAATTTTTTGTTTTTTTATTTTTCTTTTTGGGTTGATTTGATTTATTTGGTTAATTTTTTTTTGTTCTTTTGAAAATTTGAGTTTTGGGTGATTGATGAATACTGTTCTCTGTGTGGTTGCAGATGAAGAGACTGGGTGGTATGATGGTCAGGTATTTCCACTTTTCAATTTATTTTTATTTATTAACTCAATATAGCTCACTAAGTCTTTGGTGTTGTTCCATTTATTTAGACCATTCCACTTTGCAGAGCCATTATTTATGTTAATTATACATAATAATGTCTTTTATTATAAGTATTTATTAGCTCAATTTTATGTTTCTACATATACTAGTATACTACAATGATAAGGAGAACTTAGTTGCAAAGGCGCCCCTGATTCACACACACATATGTATACCTTTTTTCTAGTTTTTGAAAAAAGTCGAACCTTTTTAGAGTTTTTAGCTAGTCTTTATGAAAATTGATACCCATGGAATTTTCTAGAGCAATTATTTGAAAGTAAATCAAACTAAAATTTACCACTTCATTGGGCTTGAAAAAGTTACTTCGAAAAAGGAAAAAAGTAAGGTAATTGACAGTAAAAAGAAATGTATATACATAAATTAAAACAATGAAAGAAAAGAGGGAGAGATTTGTGATGGGTACACAAGCATAATGCGTGTCATTAATGGTTTATATGAGCAAAATGATAAATATGGGGATGTGGTGGCTATTTGGGATAGAAAATCAGTTCCAAAATGCCAACTTCAAGAATGAGTTTCAGTTACGACTCATGAGGAGAACAATGTGTATTGCTATTCGGCTATTCGCTAATAATTACACCTATTGTGGAAACTAGTGACATCTTTGAATTGATATTTACTGCATCAATATGCATAAAAATAAAATGAGGTATCATAAGCCCAATGGAAGAGGTTTATATTATTTGGTTGTTATAGAACTACAATAATTTTGTCTCATGGATATAACAGACATGACCAAGGCTAACTATAATACGAACTTTACACATTTTTTCAATTGTGTATTTCAATTAGTACTCGTCAGTGCCTACTTTTTCTTCTAGACCAAAGAGAGTTTGCTGCTGAATTCAATTTTAAGTTGTGCGGCTTGTGCCTACCATGTACTTGCAATTGTGCAAGTAATGACCGTTGCTTAAAATATAGTTTTGCAGTATTAGGATCTAAACTGAATTTCGTCTACAGATATGGGTGAAGACTGCTGAAGTTTTGGCACGAGACCGGCTTTTGGGTTCATTTTCTGTAAGTAGTCCACAATGTACAAAAGTAGTGATTTTTTTTTTTTTTGTTGTTGTTGTATAGTTCTGTGTGCTTTGATGAGGGGAGACACATGACAATCATTTAATCCAGAACATAATGATGCAAACTAACAGAAGAAGAGTTTATAAAATGATGCTGGAAGCAACTTCAAGGAAGAAACCTCTTTCGATGATAGAATCATCTCCACTAACCTACATCTGAGATCTCTCTGAAAAAAAAGAAATGAAGGTCAAATTTTTACATTGTTTTCCAATATCATATGTTTTAACTTCTCTCAAATTGCTTTTTCAGGATTATCATAAAATTCTTCAACTAGAACTGAAACAATACATCCTATCTTTTGTATAGAATTTGATTGATTTTGTACTCGAATCCCTATAGCATACCACTTGTCCCCAATTTAACAGGCATTTGATCCATACATTAATATTACACTGTTTAGTCCCAATTTTTATTTTTATTTTTTTATTTTTAAACATAATGGTCCTTGACATGATGAGCAGGAACTTTGGATAAAGTAAATGTATAGATAAGAGGCTTAAGATTACGACTCTCTCATGTAGGCAGCATAGCTATTAAGCAGTGAAGAGTTTAGAAGACCTACCTTGAAACTTTTGAAGTTCGGAAAATTATGATCTCCTGTTATTACTTTTTACTGGTTAAATTCATCTGTTAGAGCCATTTAGGAGTAATTTGAAACTGCTATGATAGATCATGGCATCAAAAAGTATTTAGAAGTTTGTATTATCAGAATTAGCAGTCACTTTTCCTTGAAGTTGCTTCCTTTTGTACCGAAAAGCCCTTTGTCAGATTTTATTTGAAGTGCATAGACGTGTAATAACACCAGAAAACTCAATTCCACACATAATTTCATACTATATGAGAAATATTTCTTGGTGAAGTTATCTCAACCCCTCAAATGCATTTTCTTCCGTCTTTCCTGCAGGTCAAGCCTGTGCTGAGCCGATTAAAGAACACGCTTGTGGGACTTGCAATATCATTATTCGCATGTGTCTTCATCCTCGTTAGTGTGGAGGGCAACCAAAAGGACTCCTACTTAACATCCGGAGAAGCTGGTGGTAGAGCTGTACCTGGAGTCTACAATGAAGAATCTGCAAGATCGTTTGAGCCGGATGCCTTTTGTGGTGAACCCGGTATTCCTTAGTAAATGGCAAAAAGAAAGTTGTTTCTATTTTATAGTGTCCAGTATATATGTAAGGCATATCATATAATCCCATTTCTGTACAGTATTATGTATTTTTATACAAGGCCCCCAATGTAATCTCTGTAAATTGATGTTTTCCTGGTTTTTGTCAAATATATAACAAAAAGCTATTCAAAAGTCACAAGAAGATATACAGTAATTGGAATACGTCACAGGCTCCTTTTGTCATCATGGAAGTTATTTCACTTGAATAAGAATTCATGTTTCAGCCAGTTATCTCCACAAGCATTGTACCCTGGTAAGCCTGTTAAACCATGTTCCTTATTTGTTTTTTTGAAATTCTTTTATATGCATATGCCCATACTTGATACGAGAAAGGTTGAGACTCCTCCCAAATTATCGAGGACACAAGTCCGTCATGGATCTTTTATAATTATAGTATGTAATGTCTTGGCAACTTGATTATATTCATTTTGCAAGCAAGGAAGAAAATCGAAAGAAATTGGGTTGCTAATCATAGAGGCAAGTCTGTTGCTACCTGATTCTGGCATTTAGATTATTGAAATTTTCTTTCTGAATAATCAGGTCAGAGGTTTTGGTTGATAGAGGGTGGGCTTGGCGTGGTGGTAAGGTTGTTCCATTGCGATCTGGATGTCATAGATTTGAAACCGGAAACAGTCGCATGGAGGTAAGGCTGCATAAATTTGACCCTCTCGAGACCCTGCAATAGCGGGAGTCTCGTGCACTAGGCTAGCATTTTTTAGGTTTTGGTTGATACTCAATTCGGGAGGATGTTCTAACTATCGTTATCCTAATGTTTGCATTGCCATCCTAATTATATGCTTTTCTTGAATTATTTGATAGGTAATAGTCCCTAGAGAAAAAAAAAAATACTATCATAAAAGCTTTTACAGTGATTTCGTGCCTTCAGTTGTTGTATCAAGAGGCTATGAGATGCATGCTCTCTTTCAACTACTTAGCGCGCGAGCTCATGGTGAGAGTCCTTAAGGACAGACTCGCTCCATCTTTTATATGTTTATGTAGACGGGAAGCCTAAATTATGTTGTTCACAGTGGTTAGAAAAGCACTTGAAACTTTCATGAGTTTAGAACATTGATGATATTTGTTGTGGATTTCAGTCCTCAGTTCTTTTGCTGATGCTGAGAAAAACTATTCTCTTTTGGAAAAGCTGATCTCTATTAGATTTATTTATATCTAATTCAAGTTCTTTTTAACTCATCCCATAGTTGTCAGGAATCTCGTGAGAGTTCTCCCCTTTCTTGCGACCCCTAGCTGCCACCGCCATCACCAGCCACTCACACCTTGGGGGGTTTTTCTTTGATTGGGTTGTTCCTCGAGCGTCGGGGTTCTATGTTTCTCTCTGTTTATCAGAGATGGGTTTGTTTCCATGCGCTTTTCTCTGTGGGTGGGCGTTCAAACTCTCTTTCATTTGCCGCTCTCGCCGAAGGGGTTTCGGTGAGCCGATTGTGGGCAACTCAAGTGCTTTGACTGCTAGCCAGATTATTGGCCCATCCTTGTTGCTTTTTCCCTTTGATCCCAGTATTTTTCATGTTTTTGTAGTTGCATTTTATGTTCTTACTCTCTCTGTGGTGCTTTGTTTTCTGTCCGCGAATCGGCAGCGTTGTGCGTTTTTCTGTGGCCATCTGGTTCAATCCCTGGCTGGGGTTTGTTGGTTCCCATCCTACGGAAGGCAGTCTCCCAGTGCTTGCGATCTCTGTTTTTGTTTGTGCGTGGGGGTGTGTCTATCTGGATCCTGGCGTTTCATTGCTTCCTCTGGTAGGTGGGTTTTATGCTCCGTTTCGTTTTGCCTCTCCTCCGGCGGCCATCGCCTATGGGTCGTGGCTGGATGTTGCTGGAAAACGAGGGCAAGTTGGCGATCGCGATACTCCGCACTGTTTCTTGTTGGGGGTTTTCGCCATGCGACTGAAGGCACCTTTGGTGGCTTTTCATGGCTATGCTTCTGCTGACTTGGGTGGTGGATCGGCTATGCATATGCTGCCTTGGGTTGGTCTTATTGATGCCGGTTTGCTGAAAATTTGGCCGACAATTGTGATCCCGATTCCGGCGAGTAATATTGTGTTGGGTCAACAGTGGAAGTCAAAGTCCAGTCTTGGGCTTGTTGTTTGTGGCGTCGAAGTCATGACAAATAGCTCCCCACCATTTCTGGAGCTTGTTTTTGCCTTCGTTTGGTTGTTGGTGCATCTTGGGTTTTCGCCTACAAAGGGCCACATCTTGTGTCACATGGTGGGACATGTGTACCTTAACATTGTCATGCTTGTTTTGGGTTTTTCAATGAAGTGTACTGTCACGAAGTGATTCCTAAGACGCTTGGAGGATGGAAGACACGCATGCTGGTTGGCAAAGAGCAGAGTTTGACTGGGAATGGTTCCAGGGAAGGGGCGTGCAGGAGCACAGGATGGTACCTCTTCAGAGTTCAGGCAGGTCGACTCGGTTCAGTTCGAGGTGCTTGTCGCTGGTCGTGGACTTGACTATGAAGAAGGGAGTTGGCCATCCCTGCACAAACTGGTCGGGAGCTGGAGCCGTTCCCCTGACGAGGCCATGGCAGGCCGAAACCAGTCAGCATGTATCCTTGGGAGGGCAGGTCGTGGTGGCTGACCAGGGCGCTTGCGCGAGCTGAAGCAACGCCTTGGTGCCGCACGGGCCGTGCCGCTGCGCCAAATCTCTAGGCCCGTGACAAATGGTATCAGAGCAGGACTTGGGGTAAAGCACGGTGGGATGCCCCCTTGTCGGTCCGGGAGGGGTTAGAGAATGAAGACGGTGCATTGAAGTTGCGTCGATGTGGAGGAATCAATGCAGTTGGGGGGGAGAGCCTCCATCTCCCCAGGAAGAGGCGTCCGTTGAAGTTGCGCATTGAAGGGCCGGAGGGCCGCGCGCACCAAAGTTCGTGCTTAGTCCTTGGGTGATGCAAACCATGGTGAAGGGCGAGCATCAAGTCGGCAGAAGGCCATTGCTTGCTCGGGATGTCGCGGAGGCGGCATGACGGAGAAGAGTCACGTCCTTGAGGAGTGGACGTCCCCTTGGTCCGAGGCCTATCATTGGGCGAGTGCAGTGCAGGGAGCTGCACAAGGAAGCGATGGTGGGAAGGCGAGCATACCGCATGGAGGCAGACTTTGGAAGGGAGTGGACGCAGTAGTGAAGCGCCGCACTGCGACGAGGACGTCGCAGGATTTGGGTGGGGGAGAATGTCACGAAGTGATTCCTAAGACGCTTGGAGGATGGAAGACACGCATGCTGGTTGGCAAAGAGCAGAGTTTGACTGGGAATGGTTCCAGGGAAGGGGCGTGCAGGAGCACAGGATGGTACCTCTTCAGAGTTCAGGCAGGTCGACTCGGTTCAGTTCGAGGTGCTTGTCGCTGGTCGTGGACTTGACTATGAAGAAGGGAGTTGGCCATCCCTGCACAAACTGGTCGGGAGCTGGAGCCGTTCCCCTGACGAGGCCATGGCAGGCCGAAACCAGTCAGCATGTATCCTTGGGAGGGCAGGTCGTGGTGACTGACCAGGGCGCTTGCGCGAGCTGAAGCAACGCCTTGGTGCCGCACGGGCCGTGCCGCTGCGCCAAATCTCTAGGCCCGTGACAGTACAGTGCCTTTGTCAAAGGCGATTATGAAGTGGTCAGTGGTGCTTGTGCGTGATAGACCTGCAAGACTTGTCGGGCTTATCTTTGTGCACGTGGCCAAAAAAGCACTTATGTGGTGGACAGTTATCCGCCTCAGTTATTAGCCTCTTCTGGCTCCTTGGCTGTCTCGTTGGACAGTTGGTCTGCAATTTGGGTTTGACTTTTCCTCGTCTGTGGTGGGATATGCTTATCTGTACTTTTGGCATATGGTTGTATGTGGTTTGCACCACTGCCTGCTGTATTTCTTTCTGTTTTTATAATATGTTCTCTGTTTGCCGGGCCAAAAAAAAAAAAAAAAATTTCAAGTTCTTTTTGTTGGGGATAAATTAAATCCTCCTTCGTTACACACACAAGCAGAAGCATCATCACATCTTATTAACAGAAGTATATATGGAGATAGCAATCATATAATTCACGCACAACATAATATTTTACATAGTTCACCCAACTGTAGGATTACGTCTATGGGAGAGGAATTTTACTACTATGAATCAAGAAAGAGAATATACAATCACATATTAAAACCCTACCCATTCACTCATCATCTTTTTTGAAGCTACATGTATATACTTGGGAATTACAAATACTCTACTCTCTCCTCACAATAGTCACCCTTAAACCCCTTACATATTTTCTCTCTCACTAAACCTCTCATACCCATCTCTATTTATAGTCTTCAAACCCAATTCATTGTTGGACAATGATTAACTTGCCTACAAGGAGTTACCATATCAGTCTTCAACTCTAAAACAGAGGTACAACTTCTTTCCCAAATCTTCAGTTTTTTCCCCAAGTTTTTTAGCTTCCAAAACCAATTAGGAAACTGTTTCTTGCAGCTTCCAATAACTCACTGTCCAAGTTGAACTGATTCAACCCATTTAATATACACCATATAATAAATATGAAATGTACATGGACTCAAAAGATAACCCAAGCACAAAAAATCTAGGTGTGGGGCCCACACGGGACCTCTAGGACCAAAAAAAAAAATGACAAAATGACTCAGAATGCATTTCAAAGAGTTCTAAATTCAAAGAAATGCCTTAAACAACCTCTAGAACCCACACAGCACGCCAAACGGTGTCGGGCACGCAAAATGAGGAGTCGGGAAAAATTAAATACAACAAATACAGAAAAATACAGGATGTCACAGTATATCACAATCACAACTCAAAAGGGACTTATTTTGCAGAAAACAGCCTAGGCTTGCAAAGGTCAAAACCACAAATGACTATATTCTTATGCAAAACTCAACTTCAATAGCCTTGATTCAGCTATACTTACTCAGATGATAAGAGTTTAATTCACAGCAAGATATCATATATATATATATATACTCATATCAGAAGGCTAAACTAGCAAAAGTAAGCACAAATGGAGGTTTGAGACATCTAACTCAACTATAGCAAGAATATAAACATAAAACACACTTGCCTTAATCTCTGGACACCTCTTAAATGGCCATTCCAAGTAAGACGTCTATGAAATCCTCTTAGCCTTGATCATGTTTAACACTCGCACCACCATTG